ATATTTATGAATGAGCTAGTGTTGTTAAACGGCTGGATTTGAGCTGACTTTTATAAACGGCTAAGACGCAATATTCATAAAAATATTAAGTTAGGGGACTTTAAAAAACGGCTGAGGCGTTTAATTTTCTATAATGGTTCCGGTCAGTTAAAGCATATATCAAAAAAACACATTAGAATGAGCCATTTTAAATATTATTTTTACAATTATGCAATAAGTTATTTTTTAAATATTACTATTGGGAATTCCTGAACTGCTCCGTGAAAGTTCTCGTTGCTTTCCCGTTCCATAATCTAAGTGCCGTTTTCAGAAAGCTTCGTTTCATGCCCATGTTTTTAATATAATTTTATAAAGTCATGCTCATGCATAACAAAAGATTTGATGATAAAATCCCTTCTGAGTTCCGCATCATTTAAGACTTCGGTAGATTCAGGATAAACGGGCAAATAAATTTACATTAAATCTGGGCAGGGCAGGCTATTAATTAGTTTTTATCAAAATCTATTAATTAACATTAATTTTTGAAAATCGATATATACAATTTTTTATTATGCAGTGTTTAGATATTTTGGATGCCGCTTACCCTTTGACTCAATTCGATGAAACTAAGATTAATAGATCTGTTATTGGTTCTATGAGGAAATTTTGTTCAACCTGAACCACTTGAACTATCCTATAATACTGTTAAAAAATTATTAATGTCGCCATACTTTTTTTATAAAAAATAATCTTAAAATATGCTGATTTAAATAATGTATTTTATTTTTAATGCAAAATTTCTTATAAATGTTTAAATCTATCATTTAAAATAACTCAAAATAAATATGTTGGTACCTTTTGATAGCTTAATTCTATATTTGACTTAATTAGTTCATCCTTTAATTAATTTTAAAGCCATATTTTATATCATCAAAAATATACAAGATATTGTATTTATTTTAAAGAATTTATATTACATCTTCGCAAATTTTAAGTTTTAAAACTTTATGGAAACCTAAAAATAAAGTTTGCATTTACTTTCCTATTAAAAAAAGGCTTACTTTTTCTATATAGGTATTCAAATTTAATTTTTTGAGGTTTTGAACACAACCTTAGCAAAATAGTATGTACTGAATCTTGGGGAAAGAAAGATTGCTTTCTCTTTTTTTGCGAATAAAAATTTCGTTTATTAACGCAACTAAGGTTGGTATTGATAACTATTTCTTCAGTATTCTTAAACTGCACACTGATTTTCAAGTCTCTCGGCCAGATTAATTTTTTTTATTTTCGAGCTCGATCCGGATTTTTTTATCCAACCCGGCCCATCCTGTTTTACATTTCATACGCCAGCCCGGATATATATAATTTGGGCCTTGTAAATGATTTCATAGGGAAATTAAAGATATGAGAAAGCGAATAAATGAATGAATTTTATTTTTTATTAACCCATTACTTTTTTAAATTACACTGTTTTATGACCCACACCGACCTTGGCTCGAACTTGTAAGTTGCTTATTCTGATTACTAGTTGTTGGCTCAATTTAACCAATTTTTAATTAAGATTTTAGCAAAATGATGTTATGCAAGCTTCGAGATTATGCTATCTATATGCAAAATCTCCAAGCTTGCCTAATATTTTTTGGCTAAAATTTTTGGGCTAGTCGTTTTTAAAAATTAAGCCGTTTAGCAACACTACTTATTACCGTCTCTCCAACTTCCTTCTTCTGGCTGAAATTATCAAAACTAATAAATATAATCATTTAATCACTCTCACATTAACTCCAATCGTATCAGATACTCTCGGTTCATTTTGATCGCAGATATTCAAATCTATTGAGCGAAACGTAAGATTATACTAGCCATCCCCTTTTATCTGCGACAAAGAATATCGATTGGGATTTTTCGTTCAAACTGCATTTCTCAGGGATCATTGAATCCTATTAGTCCTTATAATCATGAATAAGTATTTTTTCCTCAGGGCAAAAATTTTTTTAAAAATAAGTTGTCGAAGAAGAGCTAAAAATTGTTTTTGATCTATATTTCTTGAATAAGGAGCTTCAGTTACTAAATAAACTTATGGTAGATAGTATGTATAGAATACATCTTTTGACTAAATTTAAAAACAATTAGTCTTAAGGATGAAAAAGTTATAGTCGTTAACCTTCACCTCATTGTCGGATAGCCCGGTCTCCCTTACCCTCCATTTTTTTAGCCAGTTATATTTTTGTTTTTAATTTTTTTTAAAATAAATATTGTTATATTCATATTTTCTTATATAATTTAGTATTATTTTTAAATATGGCACATTATATTTTTTAAACAAAATAATTATAATATAATCCAATACATTAAAAACTCTTATTAAGAGTCTCAAAGAAATAGAGATTTTGAACGTTAACTGCGTAAAAAGTCAGAACTGAGAAAAAGAATATATTTAAAAAAAATGAAAATTGCTAAAAATCTTTTTGTATATTTGAATTAGAGATATGAATATCCGGCCCAATTTTTGGTTCATTTTTTAAACTCAATAAAATATAGGCTTGGCCGTTGGCTCTAAAAATAATAATGCTGTATTGCCTTTTATTTAATTTTTACCTTAATATTAATATCAAAATATAAAAAATAAGATTTCTTTTTTAAAAAATGAGGTGATAAATATTAATTATTCATATAATATTTTGTAATAAATAGAATAAAAGATAAACACCATCAAATTACCAATTTTATTCAATAATTAATACTCTTCCAATTTTAATATATTGCGATATAAACCCCCCCCCCTGGAATAGAAGTTTTAAAAATTAGGCTATCAAAAGCTTGGCACACTTTACGCTTGAAAAGTGATGCCACTGTTTTCACATTGCTTATAACTTAGGTTTCTTTTTGTGGTTCACAAAAGTGATTGAGGAATTAATAAATACAGGCACTAAATTTTAGAGCAAACCAAATATTTAGTTCCATCAATGAACATGATGCCAATTTTTCTTATTCCTCTAATAATTTTTTTTCTCCTACTATCTATCAAACGTATATTTAAGCACTGAACATTGAAAATTTTCAAAATAAATGATTTCAGTGGCTTTCTAATCGTAAAGTTGGCGAAATTTTTTTTATACCTACTGGTGTGAGCGGGTTAAAAATTGTTTTAAACATTGCGTGAATGGGTTGGCGAATTTGAGATAACGACCTTAGTTATTTCGTAATATATTTTATAAAGTATATATAGTAAATAATGAGTCATTGACGAGTTAAACAAAATTTGGGCAGGCACCTTTTTTTAAACCATGTGGTGGTGGGCGAGCGGGTTAATAAAATTTTAAAAAATGGGTGGGTGGGCTTTTGGGTTGAAAACTCGCTAATTGCAGACCTCGTGATTTGTGTAAGTAATCGAGAGTTTTAGTGTTTATCAATTTGATTTTTTAAGATTTTATATAAAAAATGGAATAAAAAAAATTAAAATAAAACTTTTTTTTGATCTTAATTTAAAAAAAATTCGCTTGAGATCCTATATTAAAATTATAATTTTTTTGATGTTAATGTTAGATCTTACAAAATATAAGAACCAAGCAAATTTTAATACTTTAAAATAAACTTACTAATAATGCCCCCCCCCTCCCTTTACCAAAATCCTGGCTAAGTTTATGTTTTAATAACGCAACTATGTCATAAGTTTTGTTATTAATTCCGAATATATTTTATAAAAAACCCACCCATATCAGGAAGCGTAGGCAATTAAAAAACATTTTATTTAATCTGTTTTATTTTTAATTAATCATCCAAATTAATAATTTTATATCTCTAAAACATATAATTTTATTGTCTTCTTTTGATATTAGTAAAATAAAAAAACATTGATGCCATGTTGGATTAATACATAATTCAAATATAAATAAGATATAACTTGTATAGTATATGATTGCATTTTTATATATTTATCTTAGATGTTCCATAAAAGTACTATGCTAATATCAAATTAAGATCATGCCCCTCAACGGGTTAAATAAAATCAGTATCTATATATAAATTAAAAATTTCACTTTATTTCGTTTTCAAAAAGTGATTTTTTGTTTTAGCTTTCTTTATTTTTTAAAATTTATATTATTAAAAAAGCAATACAAAATTGGTAGGGAATAACATTTTTGCATCTGTATCTTTCTTAATTTTAAAAATACCGTTTTGCTTTTGCTTAATCTAAATTTTATTAAAATCTTATAAACTCTGTAAACATTTTTATGTTAAGGTCATAACTTAAAACTAGAGCAGGTAATAATGTGATTTCTTTCTCTTAATAATGTTAAAACTATAAAAAAAAAATATTATATAAAAATTTCAATCGCAGTTTATTTCCTTATCCACCAAATTTTAAAAGTTTTTAGTGGACTTATACAAAGTAAATATAAATAATTTAATTTTTTCTTTATTGTATATAATTTTATAAACCTTTTATAATTAGGATACTTATCATAATTGGGAAAAAACTAAATATATAAAAGATAAATAAAACTAAGGTAAAATAAATATGATATTACATTTTTATAATAAATTTAAATCACAATTTAAAAAAAAATTTTTTTTAACAATAACTAGACGATATTGAAGACATTTTTTTAAATGAGATAAATAGTAAAATTAGTGTCTTCTCTTAAGTAACAAAATATTGAGATGGACATGTGTATCTATATGATATATAAAAAATATAATAAAATCCTTGAGGTTATAAGAACAAGAACATTATTATTCCATAAATAAATTTGTGGTGTCCAATAAAAAAAATAATATAAGCTCTACTTCTAAATGTTTAAATTTAAAAAATTGAATTTTGATAAATTTACTTTCCATATTTAAAAAAAATTCCTAGTTTTAATTTTGACCTATCGAAATAAAAACTGATATAATATATAAAATGAAATAATCGTAAACGATGAATCTCATGAGATTTATAAAAAAAATATCGTTTATAACAGTATAAATTATTATAAAATTTTTAAACTTGCACATATAAACTTTAAAAAGAAGATTCATTATTTTTTAAAAAAATTGTTGTTATTTTTCCCCCCTTCTATTCAGTTTCGAATTTTGTCCAATGCTCTTTGTATTTGCTTTCAAATTAAAATCTATAATACAAGAATTAAAATGGGATTTTACAAACTTCATTTCCTCGCAGATTAATCTAAAGGCCTAGGCCCATTGACAGGCATGGTATGAAGCACGTGATCAAGTAATTGAAGTGCTCGGTGCAAATGTATCTCTATCCAACAAGGGGTTTCTTTGATATCCCGTCGCGGGTAGTCGGGACCCCAGCCTTTGACGAATGAAAGCCTCAAGATGCATAAGCGTCGAAGATCATCCACGCCTACACTCCCCGCAGTTGCTATAGTATCATATAGTTTTTATAAATGATAATTACAATATGATTTTTTATTTAAAAAAAAGAATAATTAAAATATTATTAGGAGAATAATTACGATAAGATATCCTTAAAAAATATATATAAATAAATATACTTTACGAGAAAAGTTGATATAAAGAAAATTTAATTTCAGAAAGGAAGTTGAGAAAATTGAATATAATGATGTACAATAAAATGATGCCAGGGCAATAAACCTACACCAATTTTAAATACAATTAAGATAATTTATATCAGATATATGCGCCATTTGAAATTTGGGCATAATTTTTAGGTAGTGTTCACTAACAATAAATTTATTTATTTTTCGCCTTTGAAGCATCTTTCGGAAGCTGCATGAAGGTCGCAACATTCTAGGGAGTCTAAGTTACAAAGACGGAACTAAACTTTTAATATGGTCATTAAGGAACCAAAAAACATAAGAATCGAACGCATAATTTTTTGGAAAAACATTTTTTTTAATACCAGCAGCAGCCGTAACTCCGCCTTCATTGTTGATATTTGCATTGTTATTATTCACGCCATTAACCAGAGCCGTTGCTTGAGTGACAGCGGCAGCCTGTGCCATAGCGGCTCTTTGTCGCGTGCGAGCATAGCATTGGGCTAGGTCGAAGGCTTTTTTTTGTTTTTTTGGTAATGGATTAATAAGACTGACTAAAATATAAGTTTTAGCGATACATAAAAATTGTGTCAATGGTGTTCAAATCGGAAAAGTTATTTTCTTTTTCGTTATAAGGCCAAGTAAATAGGACCTACAAAAAACTTTCATTAATTTCTTTAAAAAAATTCGTTAAATCCATTTCTATCACGTTTTCATAAATAGGACTTTTAAAAAATGTCAACTTTTCATTATGTTTTCTTTCTTTTCTTCTAATATTTTTCATATGTTTTCTTTCTTTTCTTTTTTACATTTTTTTTTCATTCATTTCTTTCTTAATCATATTGGATCTTGCTCTCTTCTCATGTAATGTAACCTTTGATGTAAGCGTCAGGGTAAATTTTGTGAACAGCGTCTCCAGGGGCTCTACCAGCTTCACTGTCGAGGTAATAGCTTTGCACAAATACGCTGTGCTCACTCAGACAGCGGATCCATACATCACCCTGGCCAACGGTTGTCAAGGCTACGCCTTTGCCTACATGAAGCCTTTTATTATAATTTGTTAACCAAAATAAAAAGTAAATATTTTACTTGGATAATTCATTTCATATAAATCGATCAAAAATTAGAGATTTTCGCTGGACCCATATGATTTAAGTGAAAAGATTTATTTAAAACTACAAAATTATCAATAATGATTTTAACATCAAAATAAAATGTATAAATTAGTGCTGTGAAGTAACGTTGTTAAACGCCATTGGTTACCTTCTTCAAGAGGTAACGGTAACGCGTTTCTTTTTTTGAGTAACCGTAACGCAAAACGTTACTCGTTACTTTATATTTTTTCTTAAAACAACAAAAAGAAAAACATCAACCACTGCCTTCATTTTTATTTTTAATTTCGTTGTTAAATTTTCTATCGAAATTAATATTCAATCAAAATTCAAAGTAAATGTTAATAATGATATTATTATTCTTATAATATATTTTAAGAATATTATGTCCATAGTACTTACTTCTTCAGATGAAGATGATTTAACCCTTCCATGGCCCCAATTTGAAATATATTTTAAACCTATAAAAAAAATTAATGGTATCAAGAAATGTAAATTATATCCCAACACAAATATTTCAACCTCAATGTCCAGTTCAAACCTAAAAATGTATTTCAAGTTTAAAAAATAAATTAATATATCATTATTTTAAACATTACCTTAATAATAGAATAATATTCTTTCATAATATTTTGAAAGGCTTAATCATGGAATTAAAATATAAGTAGGGCTGTGTCGATATTAAATATCGGATCGGATCGGCACCGATATTTAGAATTTTCCAAAAACATCGGATCGAGCCTTTACCTATAAAACCGATCCGATCTTTTTACATTTCTTTTTTTTGTTATTATGTTATGTATATTTAATTTACATTATTATCATTTTTTCTAAATAATTTTTTTTAAACAATGCAAATGCACAACACCCTTTAAATTTTATTCTTTTTTAAAATAGATTTATAGTATTTTAAAAGTTTTTTTTATAAAATAGAAAGGAACACCCAAAGTTTTAATTATTTTATATCTTTTTAAATAATAACTCCAATTTTATTAATTATACTTTAAATAAAACAATATTTTTAAATATGGTATCTGAATTATAGAATTTCACAAAAGCAAAGATAATTTTGCAAAATGTTATCTGTGGAATCATCTGAGTTTACCGGCAAGGGATATAGATATTCCATCTAAAAGCTTATTGCCAGAAAATCTAGAGGCTCTCGTATTTATTAAAAAACTCTAATATACTATAATTTTATATATTAAATACAATTTTATAATTCATAACAACATAAAATGGATATATTATCAAATATTTAAATTATAGTCTTAATTGTAGAAATAAAAAAATTAAATTAAATGCATAATTTGATTTTTTGCATAAAAAATATTGATTTATTAATTACATTTGGTTCAAGGGGGGGGGGGTGAAAAACAATATAAATATCGGATCGGTATCAGCATCGCATCAGTTTTGGAGCAATATCGGATCGGATCAATGAAAATATGTGAATCGGCACAACCTTAAATATAAGCAATTAAATTATACTACAGTATTGGGCTGGAAACCAACATTAAAAACCCAAAATTAACAAAATATTGGTGTTGGTTCAAAGTATTATATTAAGTTTTTTATATCTTCTATTTCTAAATTTAAAGAATAAAAAATAGTGATTTTAAAAAACTTTGTTTAAATAATAAATATATATGAAAGAGTGGTGTAGTCAGGATTTATCCAATAACAAAATTTTATAGAGAATTTCATTATAGATTTTATTTATTATTAAAATACTATATATAACATCCCATTATTTAACCAGCTGTGTTGAGCACTAAGCGCTCTTGTTTGTCTGATCAAAATTTTGAAATCAATTTTCGTTAAAAATAAATAAAAAATTGTTACATAAAGATGTTTTCTTATAATTTATTATTTTTGTATAATTTTATTTATATTATAATTATATATGAATTTTTTTTTATAAAACTATCTTATATATTCATTTCGTATAGTTTTATTTTATTAAATATTGTCGGAAAAAAATAAATATTATTTTTGTATAAATTTAATTTTTTTAAGTAACGAGTAACCCGTTACTTTCTTGAAAAGTCGGTAACACGCGTTCCTTTTTTGAAAAGGTAACGAGTAACGGTAACGCGTTTTGTAATAACGTTTACAGCAATAGTATAAATTCTATTTTTTCAAAAAAAATTTTTTGATCCTTATTCTAAATTATCCTTATAAAAAATAACAAGTTTCTTCGATTTTTATAAAATTTTAAGCAAAGTCATTAAGACCAACGGTGTATTGCGAGGGGGGCTAAAACCCAGCTAATTTTTTCTGAATTTTTAGCCCTTTTCCAAATTTTGAAATTAATTGTTCCATTTAAAAAAAATTTCTTATTTTATAATCATATTTATTGCAAATATATAGAAGTAGTATAATTAAATATTTTTTCAAAAGTGTTGAAATTCGAATCCCTTTTCTCTTTATTTTTTGTTATAAAAATTATTACTTTTATACCAAACCCAATTTCCATTACCCTAATAACTATTTGGAACTGACGCTTTATCATTTTTTGAGGAACTATCCTACATACTGGAACTAACTGAAGAATCACATGAATTTTTTTTATTTGGTAAAAGCTAGCCATGTTTAGTCACAAGGCTAATTATAACTACTTCATGGGTGCATCATTCAAGATGATAATCTTTACTGTTGTATTATAACACAAACCTTATATGTTTTTTTAATTATAATTTCCTTTATATAATTAATTTGTATTAAATGTGCAACTACTTCTATATATTTGCAATAATATGATTATAAAATAAGAAATTTTTTTTAAATGGAACAATTAATTATAAATGCTTTGCTATCCACTGAAAAAAAAACCTTTTTTTAGTGTTTTTATATTTTTTCCATATGAAAGAGGACTTACCATTCTAATTATATATACATATATATTACTTTAAATTTTATAAAAATTGGAAAAACTAATTATATTTACAAATTTTAAAGGGTTAAATGGGCGGTAAAATTTATAAATAAAAATATTTTAAAAAAAATAGAATGTATACCATTTCATTTTGATATCAGAATCATTATTTATAATTCTGTAGTTTTAATGAATTTTTTAATCGAAGATCAATCGATAAACGTAAAATAGGTCTTTTTTCATACTCTGGCCCTTGACATCTCCAAAAATATAAGAGCTCGGATGCCAAAATTAAATGTTCTAGATGTTTGTATATAAAATAACTCCCAAATTTCTAGAGGTCCGAAAAATCGATCGATATGGAATGACCAACTTTAAATCAATATAAAGTATTGTAAACATAACAATAATAATTTGTTTTTTTTATAAATTTAATAACGCATTCAGATTAATTAAATATTTCGTGCTCGTTTTATAACAGGTTAAAAAAAATTTTTAATGATCTAAGTTTTTTTTTAATTTACATATCAAAATATTAATATACAATGACTTACGTTCTTAAAATTTAGTTGGAATATATTATAAAAAAAGAATGAATCAAACTTTTTTATTAAACCAAAATTTGATGAGTTAAAATATTTCTTATAACATTTATTTTAAATCCTTGAAACAAGATAATTGAAAAAAAAAGCAATCAATCATAACTATTGAACCTAGCCTTTTCGCTCTGTTCTGTCCTGTGCACGTTGGAGAGAGCGCCAAGGCAAAATCTATCGGCTCCCGAAGGATCTACGTACCCGTCTATAGAGACCGTTTTGTGGTTCGAGGACACCTTGAAGACTTCCCCAACTTGACAGTCCAGCTCATAATAGCCTATGGTACACCAATGATCTGGTCCTAATTAAAATTGGAGTAGTACATGGTAAAAAGATTATTTTTTCATAATATGCAAGAGGCTTAAAACGAGAAAATACAATTTAAAAAATTAAAAACAGATAAGTTATTAATTTCACTTGGTATCTGAGATATAAGCATATTGAATAGAGGAATTTCTTGAGCAAATTGATTGATCCCTAAAAAAATATGAAAAGGTCAAAATGGATAAAAAAATTTTTATAATATATATAATAAAAAGAAATCTGCTTAACCTTGAACACCATTAACTTAATGATTTAAAATTCGCAAAAATAATTAAGATTTGTTCCAGTTCAACAAGGTTTACTTCAAGAAAATGGGATTTATTTTAAATGTTTACCACAGTTGAGCTTTTCCAAATTTATTTTTAGTTTGAGTGTAATCTTCAATATTCATGCAATTAAAACTGTAAGGCCATTTTATCTCTTTCTTTGTCCACTTATATATTCTATCAAATTAAAATGGCCCCAATAGCCTTTTCATATTCCTTTTGCGAAAGTTTTCATAAATCATTAATAATGTACGGTCTTTTAATTGGGCTAACTAGAAAAATCCGAAAAAATACTCTGTATCATAACTAACTGCAAAACTGTATCTTCTACAGTACTCCACAAAAAATTTAGGTCGGGATATTTTGAAAGACATACAACATCAATCTTTTTTGTAATATTTCCGATCCATGGTTTTTTGAGCTGCTTTTGCTGATATTAATTGCAACCTCGTTCCCTGCCTGGATCCCCTTAGCTAACGTCATATATATTATATTTAACGCGATTTTATTATATTTTATAAATGTCATCTATTATTTACAGTTCGATTTTTAAATATATTTTACAATCTTCGATAATAATAAAACAAGATATCAAACAGATCTCGTGATAAATAGCAAGAATAAATTACTAATATTATATTACCTGAAATGATAGATTTTATTCTAATTAAATTTTTTTTTTACAAAATTCATTAATGTGCCCCAAAAAATGATTCATGTCAAATAATTTTTAAAACGCTAACCCAGTATTCAATAATATAAAAATATAGGCTTGTTGTATAATTCTTATAGGGCCAAACTATTAGAAGAAAGAAACTAACCTTAAATATTTACGAAAATCTGCAACTATATGTTTTCGAATTAAAAAAATCCTAGCCCATAAGAATTATATTAGACCGGTGATTGGAATAGAAATTCTCAAATTAGATCTTTTCTTAAAATTATATTCAATCATTTAGATTTTTAAAAAATATGTATTCATTAAAAACACCTCTCCTCTTCGTATGAAGATGAACAATAATTCAAGAAAATAAATAAGCATCTTTATTGTCTTTAAAATATGAAAGCATTTTTCTAATTATATTTCTATCAAATAAGATTTTAATATATATTATAATTAATTAATTTACTTTATCTCTCAATAAAGCATTGGTTAAATGATAAATAAACTTGAAAAGATAGCAATCTTAATTAGGAAGTTTGATCAAATAAATTTAACAATTCACCAATATTATTTAAAATTATATGAATATAAAAGTGACTTTAAACCCTTGATATTTATCTGACAATTCCCATATAACCAGTTTGCATTTATAAAATAATATTTTGCATTTCCCAAATTAATATATTCAAAATAAACATTTTTTTTCGCATTTTGGAATATTGCATTAAAAGGTTTCAATTGTGCTTGTAAAAAAATCGGCAGTTTATATGGTAAATTATAACTAGAAAATACTTTTAAAACATTTTTAAAAAAAAACAAAAACTAGTCTTGATAGACCCCTCTTTTTTAACACAGTTGGAACCATTTTTATAATTGTCTTTGATTTTTGGCCTGATCCTTATTAAGGATAATGACCTTTAGTATTAGAAACTTTTTACTCAGAAACATAGCCACTTATCATAAAATAGAATTATTTTATTTATAAAGAAAACGTATAAATATAATATTATGAATTTACATTGTTTGGGGATAGAAGTATGATTTTGCAAAGATTCATTTTGATGATTTTGGCTAGAACCTATTTTTCCATATCAAATATTATTTTAATTAAAGTAAATAAATTATGGATATTTTGTGTTTTTAATTGCAAAAGTAAGTGGTTTCATTTACATCAATTAAAAATAAGGAGAAATAAGGATTTTTTTGGATCAATATATGCATGCTTCAAGAATATATATAATAATAGCCTAAAATTTTATATTAAATAAATAAGAGACCTGCAGGCCCTTCCTGAGGCTCAAAAAAATACAAACACCTGCCAGGCGTTTCTTTTTAAAAAAAACCCACGAAGAAGCCAGCATTTTTAAAGTTAATTTAATTTATATCATTTAATTGAAAAGTCATATAATGATCTTGACTATCTATGGTTGTGAACCTAGGTTTAAAAATTGCCATTTGGAACCCAGTTATAAATTTAGCTAGCCCCATAACTCTTATTCTAATCTTTTCTTTCTATTTTATTTAATACCTCACAATAACAACTGCATTTATAGTAAACACATTTTGTTTATTGCAAAGCTATCATTAAATATATATAAATTTATAAATATGGAGTATTATGATGATAATGCAATGATAAAATTTGTAAAACATATGCTACGATGCATTGATAAAAAAAATTGTGATACGATTATAAATTCGATAAAAGAATATATGATTTTTCTCAGGGATGTTTGTGAACCCAAACCCTTGTATATTGGTATCCGATGCAGGACCTTTGTTATAAGTAGAGGGTCCAAGGGTTCTAGGTGTCATAAAAAATTTTAAAAATAAATAATATTTTTTTAAAAAATAATATAAATTTTTAAAAATTTAATTAACTTTTTTTTGTGGAATCATTTATTTTATATTCGCGTTTTTCTTTCAATTTTCTTCCTAGATTTCCATTTTATCTAGAGATTGATATCATAAATTATTTTCTAGTGTAGGTAATAATATTTTATTATTTAAATTTATTAATAAGTCCTATTAAATTTTTGAAACTTAATATAAAAAAATTAAAGAACAATAAAGTTTGAAAGATTTCTGTAATGATTTATTTATAGGAGCATGTGAAGTCATTGTCGAAAGATAATTGGTGCCAGATAAAAGACCTGACTAGTATTATTTCCTTTAAAAATAACAATATTAAGATTACAATCAGAACAATTATGTTTATTTGTTTTTATGGCATATGGATTAGATGCCGATTAGTTTTAGAAAAATTTACAGTTCCTTTTATATGAAATATTAGAAAACATGAAAATTCGGGAGTAACAATATTTGCAAAATAGTGTTGTATATGTTTATATATATTTAGACCTACAGGTTTTATTGAGTATTGAGCAAAAACAAATGTCTAAAGGCCATCTTAAGGATTTATGGCATACACAAAACTCCATTATTTACAATATATTGGAGGCTACGACAGTACCTACTGCTTGTAGTGATAATATATTTATGATAGCAACATTATCTTGAAATTTTACTTTTAGATAGAGAAAAATAAATCAAATTATCATTAGATATAAAGGAGTATCAAAAATGCCTATTGCATCTTTAATAGAAAAGTTCTCATAAGTTAAGAGAATAAATAAGGATACAAATATTTTAAAATTCTGGGAAGAAAATTCTTCAATATATCCAGAATTATATATCTTATCTAGAATCTTCATGGCTGTAGTGGTGATACAAATAAAATAATTTATAAAGATAACTATCTATTTTAGGTAAGGATAGAACGTGAATTTTTATCTTAAAATATATATTGTCTAATTTACGTGGAAATCTCAAGGATGATATTTTAGAAGATTATGATTGTGCGATTGAATAAAACATTTAAAATATAAATTACATTTGTAAAATATGTATATATTGTATTATAATAATAAATGAATTTAAAAAAATATTATTTTTATGTTCCCTCCCGGATCTGGGTCCTTTTTAAATTTTATTCCTGTACCCAAACCTGGACCTTTTTTTGGTCAAAGGGTTCACATGCCTGATTTTTATTAAATTTTATATAAAATAAGAATCTCTATTTTAGCTTTATCTTAAATAACTTAAAACTAAACCAAATGTAATAAAGTTGTGTTAAATAATGCAACCCTTGAAGATAATGTTTTACTATAAGTGCAGCATAAGAGTTGTTAGCCTGGTAATAAAATTTAACCAGGATAACTTAAGACATTATATTTGTGAATTCTGTTTGACACGATGTAAGGAAGATATTAAACTTTAGGTAAGGTTCACAACCCTGTTATTTTTTTTCTTTAATAAGTTAAATAACAAAATTTAAAAATCTAGGCTGTGTCATAAAATACTAACAATTTAATAAATCTAGGCCAGGCTTAAAATGGATATTTTTTTATAAAAAAATCCTGTGTGAGTTTTAAATCTCAGCATCTGCATGTCTCTGATAGAAATAAAGGAATAGTATTCATACCTGTGTGTTGTATGCTTAACCCTGAGAGATCTAAATAAAGTTGTTTTTTTAATATAAAATTAATTTTTAAATAATACCTAACCCAGGAGATACAATTCTCTCATAGTGATAAGGATTAACACAGACACTATCACATTTTAGGTCAAAGGCATATTGACAATATTTAACATGTTTCAGTTCATTTTTATGAAGATCTGGCCATCTCCATAAACGAGCATATATCACATGAGGAAATCCTTTGCGACCAGCAACCTATATATATATATATTGAAATATAAATTAACCATTATATACTTGTAAACGACCATCTAATGTTCTTTGTATAGTAACACACTTACTTGGGTGTTGACCATTAGTTGTAACTGCTGTAATTAAACTATCAAGTTCATCCCTTTTCTCCTTGAGTTTCTTAACAAGGCTTTCTATGGCGCGCTTAGCAAAGCTTTCACTCTCCCCACCTTGACGATGGCACATCAAACTATGAACTATACTCATGCAAGCATCTGCAGAAGATGTTGGCCCAGAATGAACAACTCCTGCTGAACTTGATGACAAAATAGATTTGTTATTATTATTGCAATTAGGATTGCTAACATCTGTTTTATTTGATGTAGATGGGGTAGATATAGAAGTTCCAACATTATTTAAAGTATAAGGTATCCCAATCTCAGATTGTGGATATTTATTACCAGAAGATGTAGTCATTGTTTCTGAAAAAGTTTTTTGTTGACTATACATGGTTATATTATTGCCGGTTAAATTTGTTCTTGAATTTAATATACTCTTTTCTTCATTTTCTTTGAATGATTTTATAGGCTGGTGTACATAATCATATGAATCAAAATTATTGTTAGTCTGCATGGGATCATATAATTTAGAGAATGTATTATAGCCTTTTTCATTTGCTAAATATGTAATAGGTGGAGTGACAGGACTATTAAAATGGTTTGTTTGATTCATAAATAGTTGTGAAGAATCATGCATATTCATATTATCTGATATTATTTGATTATATTCATTACTATTTACTTTTATTGAAGAATTTGTGTGTCCATGTGTTATAACAGGAGCTCTTGCATATGGATATGAATTTGATTGGTTTATATTATATACAAAATTGCTAACATTTTGATATTGAGGTATAGATGAAGGTATAGAAATTGATGAAGATGTCATTATCATAATTCTAACAACAAATTCAAAAATTTTAACAAAAGCATATTTTCATGAAAAATAATCACTCGTACGAAAATGTCGTCCATATATAAAAATATTAATCCACTAAAAATCTTTGTTTAGTATGGAATGATCAATTATAATATAATTCGTTTTGAGAAAGATATCTATATTTCAGAATATATATTCAATTAAAATCAAAAAATTTCTCCCTTTACTTATATAAACATGGCTAAATGACTACGGCTAGAGATTTTTACAACTATTAATATATTTTATTATAATTTAATTTAAATTCATCTATATATCTCATTTTCATCGATATATTCTATCATTTAAATATATTATATAATAAAAATATTACAGTTGTTCAAAATCGAATATATATTCTCATCGACTATCTATATGATATATCATTTGAATATAATACCTTATAGAACTAGTTCGAATTAAGTAAAGATGGAGTAATTTAACAAAAATAAAAGAAAATTTAATAGAATTTCTGTAAATTAAAAACAATGTAGTGCCGACTAAATTTTATTTGGCGCCATATAGTTAAATTTTGCGCTATTCTCAGCGCTTTATCGGATATTTTAATTCTTATTACTCAAGTGCCTCATTCTCATTTCAATTCATTCGCATCTTTGATATATTTTCTCAGATTTAATAATCACTAGAGATAAATTGAAGCAAATATACAAATTTGGTTATATTTTTAGATTTCGGATAATAATCAGATATAAATGTTGAAAATCATTCCTTAGTAAAACAAATTATTTAATATAAATCAATAAGAATAAAAAAACAATTAAAATTGTACATTTTAATTGTTTTTTTCACACGTGATATGTTAATTGAAAATAATTATAAAAATCAACTACAAATTTTATCTTTGCACCGATGATTCACCTTTTCCCCCAAGTTCACTTAAAAAAAATTTTTTTAAAATTCCCTCTTAAATCCCTCGATTTCGCTGTACATATTGCATCATATTATATATTAATTAATTTACATTTAATTATTCGATCTCGCAATCATATATTACTCGATATAGTTAACTTAGTAATTTCATCTTTGCAAACCTTTAATTTAATTAATATTATGAAGAGGCCTATATATTTAACATATTTTTATTGTCCCATATATCCATACTCTCTGTTCCCTACATTCTCAATAGACGCGTCATATGTTACATAATATAGGTAACTTTTTATAATTTCATCCTCACATAGATTATTAATGCCCTTTATTCCCCCTAACCACTCGAAGGCTATTATTTATTTCACTCTTATTGCCCCAAAAACTTAAATCCCCCCTTCCCATCTTTACATTATCCCACTAAAAAAGAGTTTATCAATTTCAAAATTCTTCAAAATTGGTTGTAACCGCCTTTCTACTCTCAACTTTCTATATCCACGACATCTAACTATTTTTTTTGAATGTACAGCATATCCAAATTGATAGTTCAATGGTATTCACTCTTCCCCCGATCCTTCTCCAACAAGTACAATACAAATATACTTTAATATCTACTCCGCTCTCCCTAATGTGTTTACACTTGCCCATAGCCTAAAACTGACAGATATAGCTAATAATCGTTAATTATTTTATTTTTTTTAATAAAATTATCAACCGCCTTAATTTCTTTTTATTGTTTTTAATAATATTTTTGATAATCCATACATATTTTATTTTTTTTTCAACTTTGGTCTTATTAATTCTTTTTTAAAAAAACTAACATATTATCAGCTTTTGTTTTCCTTATTTGTCACCTTCTTTTATTGATGACAGATAAATCAGCATGTGTACAAAAGAAAGGTTAGGACAATGCCTGTTATTTAAAATAAAAATAGAAGAAAAATTTAATATATAATAATGCACTGAACCCCTGGACTAGTCCCATTAGATATGTCTTTCTAATTGACTTTGTTATTATCATTTAAGAAGTAATAGGGGTGGGGTATAAATAAGCCATTTTTCACAAACTCGATTTTCTGAAATATATATTTATAATTAATTTCAATATAATATAATTTACTTCAAATCTGCACAACATTGTAACTAACATCTGACCCATTAGAATTGAATTTATTAGAATACTGTTAAGTTGAATTAAGAAGAGAACGATTTGAAAAAAAAACTGTGCATATAGGTTAGAAAACTGAAAATCATATATCTATAATTGAAGTTACTTGTTTATTATTTTTTTGCAAATTTTTAAATAAAAATAAATACGTACCGATGACATGATGTCACAAATAACGTAGTGAGAACATCGGAAAATTATACCCCTTTATCCCCAATGTAGCCTAGCCCCATCTCTTCTTTGAACCATTTGCTTATATCCTTTAGTTATTGATAATTATTTTGATATCAATGCTAAATTTATACCTAAATTCTTTAATTAATCTTTATCTAAAAATCTCTTAATTCTAAATATATATCAAAATATCCTTTTTCTTTTTGTATCATTGGGCATATATTTAATCATACTTTATAAACTATTGTACGCCCACATTTTTAAAGAAAACCCCAAATTCTTATTCCTTTTTACTAAACTTCCGTTTCTTAATAAAAATCGGAATCTATTGTCCTCTTACAATCTAATCCTTTTGTTTTTCAATAAAACCCCAAATCTATTGTCCTTTTACAATTGAATCTTTTCGATTTTTAATAAAAACACAAATATATTGTCCTTTTACATTCTAATCCCTTCGTTTTTTAATAATTCAATCTATTGTCCTTTTACAAACTAATCTTTTCGTTTTTCAATTAACCCAAATCTATTGTCCTTTTACAATAGTTTTTCAATAAAAACCCAATTTTATTAATAATTCTTTATAAAAATTTTTAACATAAAATTCTTTTTTATTTTCCATTCTTAGCCCTCTTAAATAAATCTTACAACGCTTGTACTCCATCTTACCTTGCTAGAAATCATAACAAATCTTTTCTTTTTTCAGAAATCTTTATTATCTCAATATCAGCATTATTAATTCATTACGGGTTTCTTTATTCAGCTTAGATCTTTTATCTACAAGCTCTATAACAATTGATTCTCCAACTTTTCTATTTTCATATATCTATAAAACCTCATTCAAAAAAATTAAACTATTTCTTCATTCTGCTTGTACTTTTTATCTACAACCTCTATGGAAATTGATTCTCTTTATTTTCTATTTTCTTAATTTTTTCATTCTGCTATTGGCAATTGATCCTCCTACTTTTATATTTTCTTATATCTAAAATCTCATTAAAACATTTAAAAATAGTCTTTATTATTTCTACCTCGATATTCAAATTTTGCTCTGCTATTAGTATATTACTTTTGTATAATTGATTTCAAATCTTATTTATGTTCCAAAATAAAAATCCGATCTCTAATTGAGCCGATAACTACATGATATTTATGATAAAAGCTGTTTCTCTTCCTGAAGATTATGGTCAATCAACAACCTATTACTTTATCAAATATTAATAACTTAAACGTATCTTATTCCCATACCAGATCTTTGAGGCTATTTTATTTTCAGAGCTCTTAAAATAAAAATTTAACGAAAATCTATAATAAGAAAATAATTACAACATCAAAGTATTTTCAACAATACATTTATATATTAATCTTAGTCTCTAATCTTATTCTCCAAATAAATTATAGGAATTTTAACCAAACTATTTACATATTCGTCCACAGTTTTTATTCTTAATCTTCAAATATTTTCAATTATATTTTTACCAATCTTGAAATTATTTAATTGCTTTATTTTTTATTTGCCACAGTTATCTATAGTTATATATGATTTCATAACTTATAATAATTTAAAAATCTAAAACTCCTTATATAGTTAGTTTCTAAGCTTACCATAAACTTATCTGTTAACTATAAATTTCATAAATTATTACTTTTAAATAACTATAACACAAACTTCTTTATATATTATTTGTTATAAACAGGGTTGTCCATTTGGCCGATCAAATAAGATTAGGTCAATTGACCGATAGTTGACCGGTCAAATATGGTCAAATATGCTCAAACTCAAATAAATGTTTTTTAAGACAATATTAAATATATTTTAGTAAAATATGTGTATTAAATTACATTTTTCTAAATTCTATAATTAATGTTTCGCTCTACATGGCAGAGCCTTGTTCTAATTTATATTCAATCTTATTATTTTCTTTAACATTAGGTTAAGATATACTCCTACCAATCTTCTGGTTATCGAGATCGTCAATTGGATTTCTTAGACACTTCTCTTAATATTCAAGGTGAACAAAGCCCATTCCAACAACTTGAGCCCAAAATCTGATTGTTTTTTATGAAAGTTACTGGTTTTCACATATTTTGGCTATTAAATATACCGCCGCTTTTACTTCTGAAATTTATGATATCACTTAAAATATCTTGATGATCATCACTTTATAAAATGACTAATTTTTGTATTATGTCATATGCTTCATCAAGCTAAAGTAAGATGCTCCCCTTATATTGGGAACCAATAAATAATCAGCAGCGCAGTGTGAGCACATGTATTTGGATTGTTTTCTTTTTCAAACATATCTCTAATATTTTTTATTTAGGTTGGTAAATTATAAAATCATGAACATGATTGTATTATGTGTTTTCTAAATTAAGCCTCTCGTTTTTTACGTGAGCCAAGGTCAATAAGATAGATGAATGTTTCTGAATAGTATAAAATGTTTAACTTTTTGTCCAAAATATTATTTAATATATTATTGGTAATTTCTCTCGGACAAATATCCAACTTCTTCAACAGCTGCTTTCAGAGCTTTCTTCTATATATGTATTTGCTCATTACATTTTATTGATGATGCCCATCCTGTTTGGATAATTGAACATAATGTAATATAAAATGGCACAGTAATTTTCTCTAACTATGCTTAAGTACTATTATTATGTTTATTTATATATTTAGATCTAATCAGAATAATAATGTTAAAAAATTTTTTTTATATATTTCAAATTGAAATTCTAATATTTTATTATGAAAATTTTATATTTTTATATAAAATTATAATTAAATCGATGCCTTGATGATACAAATGTATTAAAATAAT